GGCCAATATGCACGTGGCCTTCGCCTGGTGGTAATAATACTGTAGCTTATATTCACGTAGTCTTTGCCCGAGGGTAACAATACCGAGGCCTATATTCATGTGGCCCTCGTTTAAGGGTAACAATACCATGGCTACTTGCGCACAAGATATGGACCATTATGGTCATCGGTACTGACTTTACATGTGGGTCTTAGGACCAAGTTGATATGATAGCTAATGTGTGTACCACGTATGATCTCATGCAAAATTTGAATATGAATACGAATATGAACATATATATGAATCTGTTTCTGATTTGAGATCTGAATATGCATAAGAATCTGTTTCTGATGTAAACTCTGGATTTCAATCCTGAGATAGACATCATTCACTAAACTCTTTACCTTGTTATTATTCACTAGGCTCCCGCTCACTCTATTATTTATGCATGTAAGTGATCAGACGCTTGGCTAGGTTCAATGATGTCCGCCTGGAGAGTTTTTGGTCAGCCAGCCTTTGTGCCTCCCAAGGACGTTCCATATGTCTTATAGTCACGTTTTGTGAATATCAAGGCTTTGTATTATTTTGAGTTATAAACAAGTTTTCTATTAACTGTATATTGGGCTAAGTCCCTTTTTGGCTATATCTATAATGAATGTGACAATATGACGTCATGTATATGTGTATTAAGCTTAGAATTTATGTCCCACATACGTCTGCACGCCTCAATGGACTATGTATGTTTCTATATTTGCTTCCGTAGCCCCTAATTGTAAGCTCTTCTGTTCAGAGGCCTTTGGTAATCTAAGGATTACTGGCCGGTTACGACGCTAAACCTATAGGGGTGGATTTGGGTCATGACGTCAAGTTCCGAAACTAAATTTAGGACTTAACTTTCGAATTTAAGAATTTATTTCAGAAATCAAGTTTCAAATTTTTTTTATGTGTTTCAAAAGTTAAAAATCAAATAAACGTTTTTCATTCGGATAACCAGTACCAAATGAACAAAATTGAATTTCTTCTAAATCAAACGAGGGTTTATGAAAAATAAGAGATAAATGGAGTTGTTGGTCTTCAATGGAGTTGTCAAAAGAGTGCAAATAGACGAAAAACAAAATGAGAGGGAGATATTCATTTTCAACAATGTAATGGGTCTTCAATGGAGTCACCGTGAGTCTTCTTCAATGGAGTTTGATGTTGCGTCTTCAAGGTGAGTGGAATAGAAAATGGGTCTACACCGAAACGAATGATTTAGGCGGTGTGTACAAGGATGCCAGTTTAGGATATAATTGAAGCATGTGATGTGTGAACTGAGAACAAAAACATTATCACGCCCCAAAATTTGGACAATTAAATATTAAATTAGGACCAAACCCCAATAATATTCCATCATCCAAATCTTAGGGGTGAAACAAAAAAAAAAAAAAAAAAAACCTAAACACCAACCAAACCATCCACTATAATCTCATAACTAACCAATACGTCTAATATTAAAGTAACAACACACAGTCAAAATAACTTAAACAATGTACGGTTACAAACCATGTCAAAATATCCCAATACTAAGGTCATAAAAAAAAATAATAATAAATACATAAACTACTAACAACCCTAAGCTTAAGAAAATCAAAAGAAGTCCAAACAACATGTCCTACGATCATAGTTATTTCTTGTCACCACCATAGCCTCAACTAATCCTGCAAAGGAAGCTCAGCTGCGCTCAAACAGAACGCACCCAAGTTGCCAAGAGACAAAACGGGTCAGTATACAGGTATACAGGTATGAGTACAAGATTTAACACCCATGTGTCCACTAGACACAAACAAAAATACATTTAATTCTTGTTATGGGACAAGACAAGTAGTTCCATCCACACTGAGACGAATGGGTAGTTTCTCGAGATACAGTGGCGTTTAGCTTCTTACCCGTACACAACGAAATATAAATTGAATATAAAATAAAAAAAATAGAAATAAAAATATGATGGGTCAGCCCTACATAAAAAGTTAGTAAGACTCACCATCCTGCAAAATAAAGTTAGTATAATTTAATCGTAAACAACTTTCTAAAGAAGTATAAAAATGCACCGCTTCATACTTAAATAATTCGAATTGACCAAAACTCAAAGAACAAAAGTTGTACATAATCAAATTTTCTAAAGGACAACGTGGACGAATTTAACAGAAACTGAACAGGTTGAGAGAAAAACCTAAACAAAATTCAATTGAAAAATCTGAAGCTAAAAATGAATAAAAACTGCCCTAAGATGGTTTTTTTCGGAAAAGTTCAAAACATGAAAAGTGTACAGAATAATGTTTTACTTTAGTTTACGCGAAACCAATAAAAATGAGCTCGTTCATGGATTAAAACAGCCTCTAAAATCTGTATTGCTAAAATGAATCAAAACTACAATAACCAAGATTATCCGATTATAAGTTCCAATTGATCTTTTTAATAAAAAATTAAAACACAAAAGTTGTCTAGAATCACGTATACATGATTTTGCTCAAATTTCATAATTTATCGAGATCGTTTACTATTTTTCAAGTTGTACAAATCAATACAATTCACACTAAAACAATAAACTCCTAATTAAATTCTTTGTACCTTAACTCCACCACTTTGGCTCTCCACTTCTGGCCTACACATATATTCCATGTGCCTCTCGTATACCTAACACCGCTCTGAAGCCAAACTTGCATGGGGATATCTTCCCAAGTTTGACCCATACTCTCCAGATGGTTAGCATATATGGACGCGCGTAAATCAAAGCACTCGTCTACTCATGAGAACGAGGCAATAATATACATATACAAAACATCTCACTCTTGAGAACAAACATAACAATGCCAAGCCTAAGGGATTCAAATAAATCTCATAATCCTCACTTTTTTTTATACACTCATTTCTCACCAACACTTAAATAAAACAACAATCTATGGAGTCATGGTGGAGTATAAAGAATTTATCTATGAGTTTCTAATTAATTTTAATTTCATATAACCATGAGTGTGATTACAACCATAAAATAAATCCATATAAAAACCCTAAACCTGGCATACACAATTAATCAAAATTATTAAAATCAATCAATCGACTAAAAACCCTAAACCTTACATACACAATTAATCAAAATCATTAAAATCAATCAATCGACTAAAAACCCTAAACCTTACATACATAACGAAACAAAATAATTAAAATCAATCAATCATCTAAAAACCCTAAACTTTACATACACAACTAATCAAAATAATTAAAATCAATTTATCATCTTTATATAAATACAAAATCAAACTAACATCAAATAAATAAAAATAAATAAATAAAAACAACGAATTAAACATAAATCAAGGGAAGTGAGTTTTGTGCTCACAATATTTTATTGAAGATAAAAAATATTTGAAGAACTAATGGAACCACCAAAACAAAACCCTAATCTTTTTCTTCCTCTTTCCCCTACCTTCTTCTGCCGTCCCTCTTGAATCCTCAATTCCACTCTTTGATTTTGATCTCTCTTTCTCTCTCCCGTGGTTGCTCTCCTCTCCCGTGGCTGCTCTCTTGCAAATTCACTTCTCTTTTTTCTTTGATTCCCTAATCCATATTCTAACCTAATTCACTTTATATAATATTATATTAAAACCTAATCTTGTTCTAACTTAATAAACTATTACAATATATATAAATATAAATATAAGATTAAATATAATTAATTAATTACCACATTAAATTCATTAAATATGACATTAAATTCTCATGTGACCCACACAATTAATAAAACCAAAAATAAAATAAGATAATAATAACCATAATAATAATAAATAATGGCTAAAGAAAATTAGGGTCGTTACAATATACACACCCCAAAAGAATCTCATCTCGAGATTCGATAAGAGAGAGTACTAAGCAAAAAGTTCAGGGCGCAAATGACGAACTTTCTCTTCCAATTCCCAAGTGATATCATTCCCATCCTCTCTCTATTGCACGTTCACTAAGTTCACTTTCTTGCGCCGTAACTGCTTTACATCCCGATCTACAATAGTAACCGGTCGCACCACATACGTTAGATCATTACTAATCTCCAACACTTCTGATGATACTACTTGGGAAGGGTCTTGTACACACTTCCGCAATAAAGATACATGGAACACATTGTGAATCATAGCTAAAGCAGGTGGTAGAGCTAATTTGTAAGCCACATTACCAATCCTCTCAGTGATCTCGTATGGTCCCACAAATCTAGGTGTCAACTTTCCCCTATTTCCAAACCTCATGACTCTCTTACGTTTTCTATCAGTGTAACTCTTCTAACGGCTTTGTGCAGTCTTAATACGTTCCTGAATAATGTACACCTTCTCCGTGGTCTCTTTCACCAACTCTGGCCCTAACAACAGGTCATCTTCTACCTTCATCTAACAAGTAGGTGATCGACATGGCCTCCCATACAAAGCCTCAAAAGGTGTCATCCCGATACTGGAGTGATAACTATTATTATCAGCAAACTCCACCAATGGCAAGTGTTCTTCCCAACTACCACCAAGATCGAGGACACAAGCTCTTAACATGTCCTCCAAGATTTGATTTACTCACTCAGTTTGCCCATCTGTCTGAGGACGATAAACCGTGCTCAGGTCTAACCTAGCACCCAAAGCATGCTGAAAGCTCTCCCAAAACTCTGCCACAAATAATGGATCACGATCTGAAACTATAGAAACTGGTGCGCCATGAAGTCGCACCACCTCCCGAATATACAACCTAGCTAGTTTATTCGCAGTTCGGTGAACACTGATAAGAATAAAATGAGCTGACTTGGTAAGTCGATCTACTATCACCCAAATAGATTCATTGTCTCGCTTATACCGGGGCAATCCATCCATGAAGTCCATAGATATGTACTCCCATCTCCAAGTAGTAATCTCAAGAGGTTGCAAAAGTCCAAATGGTCGCTGGTGTTCTGCCTTAACCTGTTGGCACACATAACATCGAGAAACATACTCTCCTACGTCTTTCTTCATACATTCCTACCAAAACGTCCTCTTTAGATCATGATACATCTTAGTCCCACTAGGGTGAATGGTATATCGTGATCTATGGGCATCATCTATAATCTCTTTCCTCAATTCAACAATGTTAGGTACACACAACCTACCCTTGAATTGCAATCCCCTATCTGAGTCCACAGACCAATCAGTAGGACAATCATCGATCAAATCCACTATAAGGTCATCAAGCTTGCTGACGAGAAATCCATCTAAATTCTGCATCTAACGAACTTTACCCAGTAAAATCGGTTACCTGATCAAACTACCATTGTATGCCTTCTCAGCACTCTCTATTGGTTGAACATCATGCACGAAATTAACTCCAAGGACTTCCATTCTTGAATCATCAAAGAACCTATAATCCCATGTTGTCGACTAAGTGCATCTGCGACCACATTTCCTTTCACCGAGTGGTAAAGGATCTTGAAATCATAACTACTAACGAATTCAACCCATCTCTGTTGCCTCATGTTCAACTCTTTTTGAGAAAAGAGATATTTGAGGCTCTTGTGATCTGTGTACAACTCAAAGTGCTCCCCAAACAAGTAGTGTCGCCACACTTTCAACGTAAAAACAACTGCTGCCAACTCTAAGTTATGAGTTGGGTATCGTCTCTCATGAGGTTTTAATTGTCGAGAAGTATAAGATACAGCCTTCTGATGCTGCATCAACACAATACTAACCCAGTTCCACTCGCATCAGTAAACACTACTAACTTTTCCCCTTATACCGGTATAGTTAACACCGGAGCTATAATTAACAGCTACTTTAACTCCTGGAAAGCTTTCTCACAATCATCTGTCCATAAGAACTTCACATTCTTGCAGGTCAACTTGGTCATGGGTGCTGCAATAGTGGAAAACTTCTCTATAAATCTCCTGTAATAACCAGCTAGTCCTAAAAAACTTCTCATCTCTGTAGGGTTCGTGGGCTGCTTTCATTCTTTGACCGCAACAACTTTTTCAGGATCTTTCGCTATCCCTGATTGGACACAACATTCCCCAAAAATCAAACTTTTTTCTCCCAAAAGTGACACTTACTGAACTTAGCGTATAACTGTTGCTCCCTCAAAGTCTGCAATACAACTTTCAAGTGTTCTCTGTGTTCCTCCTCATTTTTAGCATACACCAGGATATCATCTATGAAGATAATCACAAACTTAGCTAGATATGGTTGAAAAATTATGTTAATCAAGTCCATGAAATAGGCAGGAGCATTGGTCAAACCAAAAGGCATTACAGGAACTTCGTACAACCCATATCGGGTCCGAAAAACAGTAAGCGGTATATTTTCCTCTAACACACCCATCTGATGGTAACTCGTTCTGAGATCAAACAGAGAGAACATGGCTGCTCCCTTCAACTGATCAAACAAGTCATCAATTCTAGGTAGCGGATATTTGTTCTTGATAGTCACCTTATTCAGCTCTCTATAATCTATGCACATACGGAGAGTGTCATCTTTCATGGAGACAAAGATCGCGGGTGCTCCCCACGGGGAGTTACTCGAACGTATGAACCCTTTCTGAAGTATCTCTTCTAGCTGCTTCTTCATCTCCACAAGCTCTTTAGGCGCCATTATGTAAGTGTGACAACCCTCACCACTGATTAGTGTTAATCTATGATTAAGCATGTTAAGTGACTGATTGATTGAAATTATGACTAATTGATTGAGTGTATTAGTTTAAATGCATTTCTATCTGTTTATCATTGATTTATCTGTTCATGTTTTAAGTTTCGAACTGTAAATGGAAGGCCTTATCGGCGGCCGAATCTGAAATTGATTAGTGTTTTATGTTAATTAGAATTAATGTGATTTTATGGTAGATTTAGTTGAAATTTGATTTGGTATGATTAAATTAGATTTAATGAAGTTAAAATGCATCAACTTGAGTTATTTACCAAAATGCCACTTAGTGGACTATTTCATGAGCCTTTTATTTGATTTATACATGTTAGCATTATCATCACATTTCTTTAGCCCTTTTCTTGAGCCAAACCGACTAGAGAGAGAGAGAGTTAGGAGAGCTTTGGTTTCGTCAAGAATTGCTTGGAAATTTAGAGGAATTGAAGTGTAGATTGTACATTTGAGCTTCCATTCTTGAACTTGAAGACTTAAGGTAGAGCTTTTATCTTCTTGTTTATGAATTGAGTTGGTTCTTGCATGGTTTAGAAGAATGTTGAAGTCTAGAGCCAAGTTATGGCTTAAAATGTGGAATAGTGAGCTTGAATCATGCATGCATGTTTACATTCTTGAATTTTGAGGTTGTTTTCATAGAATCTTCACATGCATGTCCATATTTGGGTTATAGTCCATGAATTTATCATGTTTTTGAGTGAATTGACTCATTTGATCATGTATTGGAAGCTTTGATTTCATTTGAACACATGCATGTTGCATGTTCATCATGTTCATAAAGTTTTGTTGAAATTGTGTTTTAATTGAACTACCTTTGGGCCTTGATTTTGCAGATTGATCTTTGAAACATGTCATATTATGAGTTTTAAAGTATTTTCCAGAAAATTAGCCTAGAAGGATCGAATTTGATGCTTTAAATGTTGAGTTTCATGCTTGGAGACAAATTTGAAAATTCCAGATTTTGGGTCCATGCTCGAGCGTACACTCTGAGTTCATGCAGTCCGCTCGAGCGGGGAAAGTAACGCTCGAGCGTGAAATGCGTGTATCCAGTACTTTGCATGTGTTTACAGTCCGCTCGAGCGAGGGAATGCACGCTCGAGCGAGGACTTGTGTCTCACGCTCGAGCGGAGGTCGAGCGCCCATTGAGCATGAATTTCATGTATCCAGTACTTTTGCAGTTCGCTCGAACGAGGAAAGTCACGCTCGAGCGGAGTTCCTTTGTCTGCATGTCCGCTCGAGCGTAGAAAGCCACGCTCGAGAGAGACCCCTATTTTCTGAAAATTTTAAAAAATGTTTTAAAGTACATCTTTGCATCCTCATTTCATCCTAGGCATTCCTAGGCCTAGTTTAAGGTATCTTAATGAGGATATTGATATAGAACCACACCGATTCAAGTTAGGGACTAAGTCATTAATTTCCAAGTGTGTAACTTAGTGTGTGTTCATTCTGTAACTGTGTAGGGTTGGCATCCGAGGACGCTCACTAGCCTATCTGTAACCCAGAACTCTGTGAGTAACAACATTGTAAAGATATATTCAATAATGAATATTTTTTGAATGATCAACTGTATTACTTTCTGAAATGATATTTCTTACTGAATGAATTCTTGTCCTATTTGCGAACTGTATTCGTGGCATCCATAGCAATTTACTGTTACTGTACTGTACTGTTACTGTCACAGAGATCTCTGTCGGTTCCCATGTTTGGAACCACTACTGTTTACTGATATGATGGCCATCATCTGACTGTTCGGTCTGTTAAGACCTACTGTACTGTTTGCTATTGGATGTACCACTTATGACTACTATGATCGAATAACTGATATACTGTTCAAATGACTGTTTTAAATACTGAAAGGACATTCATTCCTAACCTCTTTACGCATATGTTATTCACTGGGCTTTAGCTTACTGTTTATATATATATGTAGGTGTCCAGGCACCGGATAGAAGCTAGGAGCGTGGGGTTTAAACTCCCTTTTTGTCAAGCAAACCAACGTGCCTCACTGCGAGGTTCCAAGTGCTGCCAAGCTAAGGCTGCTTGGGGGTGTTTTAGATTCCCCTTTTCTGTTTCTATTTTGTATAGACTATATGAGACTTGTACTGTACTGTTATGGTAGGGATTTGGTCCCTAACCTGAATACCTGTATATGATGTATGTATATACTGTTATGGTTTTGAATGTGAATATGTTATGAAAAGTCTTTTCGCATATAGACTGTCACAGCTCATTGGACATCTTTCATTTACTGTTTTGGCTTCCACCAGTCCCTGTACTCTGTATTATTGTTATTACTATTAAGCAGGCCTTTGATAATCACGGATTACTGGCTGGTTACGGTGCTAAACCCATAGGGGCGGGTTTGGGTCGTGACAGTATGCTGCCTTAGAAATCGGTGCAGTTCCCAGCACTAGGTCAATGCGAAATTCTACTACCCGTCGAGGAGGAGGTCCAGGTATCTCCTGAAATACATCCTCAAACTCACGCATCACATCTACCTTACTAATGTCCTGCTTAGGGATTTCTACCGAACACAGAAAACTCGTCATCACCCACTCTCCTCCATCGCTAGAAGTGTGGGTAAGCCTTGGCATACTGGGAATATCTATATTTACAGTCCTTCTAGCACAATCTAGAGTCACAAATATTTTCGCAGCCAATCTATACCCAAAATAATTACAAACTCCTTAAACCTTAACACAATTAGGTCGGCATACAAGACTTTGCCCGCAAAGCCAATCTCAAAATCTTTACACATCTCATAAAGAGTAACTGCCTCTCCTAAAGGATTCTCAACATAAATAGGTCTAGACAAGGAGGTAGTCACAAGCTGTTCTCTTTCTACAAACTGCCTAGATATGAAACAATGAGAGACATCAATATCAAGAAATACCCTAATGGGTTCTTGGAAAAAGATTAAAGATACCTTACAGCCATCACTTTCAAGTTAAACACACAAAAAGAATTCGTTTAAAACTACTTAGAATAAACTCAACCACCAAACTAAACCAGCTAACTCATACTTCCACAATCCGAGGATCACCTAAACTCTCACAAGTCTAGGGTAACTTAGAGCTCTGACACCAAACTGTCACGCCCTAAAATTCGGACAATTAAATATTAAATTAGGACCAAACCCCCAAAATATTTCATGATCCAAATCCTAGAGGTGAAAAAAAAAAAAACAAAAAAAAACTAAATACCAACCAAACCATCCACTATAATCTCATAACTAACCAATACCTCTAATATTAAAGTAACAACACACAGTCAAAATAACTTAAACAATGTACGGTTACAAACCATGCCAAAATATCTCAATACTAAGGCCATAAATAATAATAATAATAATAAATACATAAACTACTAACAACCCTAAGCTCAAGAAAAACAAAAGAAATCCAAACGACATGTCCTACGATCATAATTATTTCTTGTCACCACCATAGCCTCAACTAATCTTGCAAAGGAAGCTCGGCTGTGCTCAAACAGAACGCACCCAAGTTGCCAAGAGACAAAATGGGTCAGTATACAGGTATACTGGTATGAGTACATGATTTAACGCCCATGTGTCCACTAGACACAAACAAAAATACATTTAATTCTTGTTACGGGACAAGACAAGTAGTTCCATCCACACCGAGACGAATGGATAGTTTCTCGAGATACGGTGGCGTTTAGTTTCTTACCCATACACAACGAAATATAAATTGAATATAAAATAAAAAAATAGAAATAAAAATATGGTGGGTCAGCCCTGTATAAAAAGTTAATAAGACCCACCATCCTGCAAAATAAAGTTAGTATAATTTAATCGTAAACAATTTTCTAAAGAAATATAAAAATGCACCGCTTCATACTTAAATAATTCGAATTGACCAAAACTCAAATAACAAAAGTTGTACATAATCAAATTTTCTAAAAGACAACGTGAACGAATTTAACAGAAATTGAACAGGTTGAGAGAAAAACTTGATATAAAAATCTAAACAGAATTCAATCGAAAAATCTGAAACTGAAAACGAGCAAAAACTGCCCTAAGATGATTTTTTTCGGAAAGGTTCAAAACATGAAAAGTGTGTAGAATAATGTTTTACTTCAGTTTACGCTAAACCAAAAAAAAAATGAGCTCGTTTCGTAGGTTAAAACAGCCTCTAAAATCTGCATTGCTAAAATGAATCAAAACTACAACAACCAAGATTATCCGATTATAAGTTCCAATCGATCTTTTTAATAAAAAATTAAAACACAAAAGTTGTCTAGAATCACGTATACATGCCTCTGCTCAAATTTCATAATTTATCAAGATCGTTTACTATTTTTCAAGATGTACAAATCAATACAATTCACACTAAAACAATAAACTCCTAATTAAATTCTTTGTACCTTAACTTCACCACTTTGGCCCTCCACTTCCGGCCTACACATATATTCCATGTGCCTCCCGTATACCTAACACCGCTCCGAAGCCAAACTTGCACGAGATTATCGTCTCGAGTTTGACCCATACTCCCCGGATGGTTAGCATATACATACGCACGTAAATCAAAGCACTCGGCTACTCATGAGAACGAGACAATAATATACATATACAAAACATCTCACTCTTGAGAACAAACATAACAATGCTAAGCCTAAGGCATTCAAATAAATCTCATAATACTCACGTTTTTTTATACACTTTTTCTCACCATCACTCAAATAAAACAACAATCCATGGAGTCATGGTGGAATATAAAGAATTTATCTATGGGTTCTTAATTAATTTTAATTTCATATAACCATGAGTGTAATTACAATCATAAAATAAATCCATATAAAAACCCTAAACATGGCATACACAATTAATCAAAATAATTAAAATCAATCAATTAACTAAAAATCTTAAACCTTACATACACAACAAAACAAAATAATTAAAATCAATCAATCATCTAAAAACCCTAAACCTTACATACACAACTAATCAAAATAATTAAAATCAATTTATCATCTTTATATAAATACAAAATCAAACTAACATCAAATAAATAAAAATAAAAAATTAAATATAAATTAAGAAAAATATATTTTATACTCACAATATTTTATTAAAGATCAAAAAATATTTAGAGAACTAATAAAACCACCAAAACAAAACCCTAATCTTTTTCTTTCTCTATCCCCTACCTTCTTCCGCCGTCCCTCTTGAATGCTCAATTCCACTCTTTGATTTCTCTCTCTCACTCTTCCGTGGCTGCTCTCTTGCAAATCCACTTTTCTTTTCTTTTCTTTTCTTTTCTTTGATTCCCTAATTCATATTCTAACCTAATCCACTTTATATAATATTATTTTAAAACCTAATCCTATTCTAAATATAAGATTAAATATATATATATATATATACATATATCACTTCTTTTTTTTATATATAACAAATATAAATATTTAAATATTTAGATTAATTATAATTAATTAATTACCACATTAAATTCGTTAAATATCACATTAAATTCTCATGTAACCCACATAATTAATAAAGTCAAAAATAACATAAGATAATAATAATCATAATAATAATAAACAATGGCTAAAGAAAATTAAGGTCGCTACAAATATAAAATCAATTTTATAAGTGTGTGTATTAAGAAATTATGTACACAAAGATAAATAAGTACATAAAAATAGAATTTTTCTAAAATAAGCTAAAATAATTAATAAGACAAAAGTCATATTGAACTTATAATCATTTTACTTTTTCTCTTACAATTATCAAATCAACTAAAAAATAAAAAAAAAACAAAAAAAAAAAAACTAACTAACTAACTTCCTAAACACAATTTCAACGAAATTAAATTAATCATAAAATTGAATAATCAATTAAAATAACCAACTTCTCAAATAACGCTTAAAAGATTAATCATTTACTTCAAATTCTAATTCGAGAAAACGTAATAATTTATTTGATATGTATTGCAAATTCTAATTCATTGAAAATATAATGTAAATAATATCATATAATATTTTTAAAACATTTAATAATTTCATGGGTGTATTGAGAAAATAGCATAGTCATACAATAAGGCCGCCCCCAACTCTTGGGTGGGGGCAGTGGAGCGGAAGCTCCAAGAAGCAGCACTTGAGGGGGAGGAACACAAAGTTATTGCTTGGAAAATTCAATGCATCTCGATGTGGATTATGCAATTATTTACTATAGTATTTAGCCGTCACCAAAATTATAAATTTATCTTTTTAATAGTATTTTAGAAATAATGTTCACTACGTTTCATAATAAATTTACAAAAAAAAGAATTCATAACACTTCTATCAAAAATTAAGATTGATATTTACAAAACACATAAAAAAATAAAGAATAAAAAGATAAATTATTTGAATTTCATGTTATTTATTTTCCAGTAATTGAAATTATATTAATGCAAATTTGGTTATTTATGCATTATGTTATTTTAAAATGATTGTTGAAATCAAAGAATAAATAAAAGAAAATTTTGATGTGCTAACAATAACAAAGTATAACATTTTATTTTCATTGGTAAAATACAACGATAGTTAATCATTTTAACTAACTACTACAGTATTGTAAATCTCTAATGTTAGAATTTGAGCAATCATTAGTGTTAGCGATGTTTTTGGTTGATTAAAATGACATGGAATATAATGATCATTTTTTATATTTTATGAAATGATTATTTCTTCATAATGTTAAATAATAATTCTATTTCTAATCTATTTATCATTATTTTTTCAATCAAATAAATATGAAAATAAAAATTTTGATAAAATAAACAGTATATTTCATTTTATTATAGTAAATCAAATACTAGCTAAGAAATTCCTTAGTTCACATTTGTTCATTAATTGTTGGTTTGTTTAGTTCACATTTTGTTCATTAATATTATGTTTAGTTTAGTTGAGAGATTTAAAAAAGAATTTTAAAAAATAAAGAAAAAATATGTATAAAATTATAAAAAATATAATTTATATTTTATTCACATCTTATTTATATACATATTTTTTTATTTTTAAATTTCTTTTTAAATCTCACAACATATAATTGTGAGCATACTTAGGCCAAGTTTAGGTAGTTTAAAAAAAGTCAAAAAGTCAAAAAGTTACTCAAAAAGTTAAAAAGTCATCACTATTCACCAAAAGTCAACAATTACGGCTGCACAATTCCCAATTCTAATTTTCTCCTACAAACTAATTTTTACAATTTTTTATTACACATTTTTTCATAAAAAGTCAAAAAGTTAACCCAAACATTCATATTTTCAACCTCAACTTTTTAGTTTAAAAAGACAAAAAGTGCACTTATTTAGTCTTCCCAAACTTGGCCTTACTATTGTTTTAGAGGGCACCTAGTAACATGGGTTGAAAGTTAAAAGTAAATTTTTGGTCATGGAATCATTGCATCGTTTCCACGAAAATTCATAAAAATGGACTTGGTCTCTTCCGTGAAGGCTTTCTTTCTAGTCATCCATGTATATATATATGTATTATATATTACTCTTCCGGCTCAGACAAAAATAGAGAGAGAGAGAGAGAGAGAGAGAAAATGGAGGAGATTCAGCAGAAGCTCCTAAAAGCAGCAATTGAGGGGGACACACCATTATTGGTGGAAATACACACACAAAACCCACTGATTCTGAATAGAGTAACAGTGGGTTGTTTCGATGAGACTCCTCTTCATGTGGCCGCGTTGCGTGGGCATGTTGAATTCGCAAGAAAACTCGTGAGTCTAGATTCAGAGCTTGCTCAAGCTTTAGATTTCCAAGGATCGTCGCCTCTTCACTTGGCATCGGCTAAAGGCTACATCCAGATTGTAAAGCTACTGGTAGCTGCAAAACCTGAGATGTGCAAGGTTCTAGATCGGGATGGTTTCAACCCTCTCCATCTAGCAGCCATAAAGGGCAAGGTCGAGGTGTTGAGAGAGTTGGTTGGAAAGATGCCCCAAGCGGCTCTACCCAAACTCAACCACCAGCAGACCATACTACATCTGTGTGTGAAGCACTTTCAGATGGATGCTCTCAAGCTGTTAATGGAGGAGACAGACGACGTTCAGATTCTGGGATTGGTCAATGCTACTGATGACTATGGCTACACCATACTCCATTTAGCTGTGGCCGATAAACAAATCCAGGTATCCACGTTATGTTATGTTTATGTTATGCTCCTAATTCGGTGTATGTTGGCTTATTTTGGAAAGTTAGTTTTTAGTCATTTATTTTAGTTTGTAGCAAAAGTTAAAAGTTGACTTTTTTAAATTTTTTTTCATTTGGGAAGGTGGTTTTTAGCCAAGAGTAAAATTACAATTTTACTTCTCATGAGTCAAAATAGGCTACATGGGTGAAGTTGTAATATTTTAAACTAAATAGGGGTAGTTTGATCATTTGATTAGGATTTGACATCATAAACAAGTATTAATCAAAAAAATCAAAATTCACTTTTTATTAACTTCTAAAATCATTTGTTTAAAAAAATCAAAAACTTAGTTAAAAATCAAAAAATCACTTTTTACATCTTTTGAAAATAAGCCGTCATGACTATTTAATTTCTCAGTGACTTACAACCCTTTGCTTGCAAGTACAACTCTTGTTTGTTTATTTCTGTTCGATTTAACATATTTGAGTAGAAATTTATAATCAAATACAAATTCAAATCACCAATAAAGTTAACCAATAATATGGGAACTGAGGAAACCGAGAGAGAATCTTCATCTTCATGACCAACCAGCCCTTTAATACAAACGAGGCACCTTGTTTGGGAAAGTTATTGATTGGTCTTGCGCGGTATGTGATTATATATCACATCAATCACAATTTATCATATTTTTTAACCATCTAATATAAATTTGTAAATTTTATTTTCTCTATCCATCATAATATCATGCCGGTACTAAAGCCAACTAATAACTTGTCCCTTGTTTGGCACTTACACGAGGCCCAATTATTGCTCCTCTCTCTCTCAACCAATAGACAAAACAACCTCTTACTTTCATTTTTCTTTTTTTCTTTTAATTATGCTTTCTTTTTTCTTCAGAGCGAGATGACCACATGAAGTGCATAGTATAAAGTGAAGGGGTACTTCTCTTTTATCATTAAAATTCACTTTTTCTTCTCCTTTGAATGGCAATTCAACCCCTATTTTAATTCACTTTTTTTTCCTACCAAAAAAATTCAACCCTCATAGCTTAAAACCCTTACAAACTCCAACCTTGGAGGATATGAAATAATGTTTATTTGAGACATTTCCGAAGTACCCACACAAAAAAAAAAAAAAAAAAAAAAAATTGAGTCAGAAAGAAACCATTGCATATATATATATACACACACATAATCCCATGAAAAGTGATGGAAATAGGATTTGCAATGACCCGATGACTTTTGCCCATCATGGCAAAATCAGTCTTTAGGAATCAATCGTTGGATTTAAAATTTTGAACTCCACCTAATATCACCATTTTCCCCTCAATTTTGGCTGGCCTAATGGAAATTTTTTCACCTAATGTCACAATAAATTTATGTGTTGCAGATTGTAAAATATCTTGCTAGCAGAGTAGATGTAAACGCAATAAATGCAAATGGGCTCACGGCATTGGACATTCTAAGTCAGAGCCGAAAAGGGGTGGAGGATTGGGAGATTGGAAACTCTCTCCAAGAAGCCGGAGGATTAAAAGCTGCAGATATTCCCTTGTCTGGTAATGGAAATAGATCTGCAAGGCCAAGCAATATGCTCTCCATTGTACATGACCAAAGCAGGACACCATTGGCCGCACAAACAAGTAATAAGTTGCGTAGTCAGACAGCTGCTGCAACATTGCCTTCAAATGGGAGTAATAATGCACAAATCCCCTCATTTCTGCGTCATGACACTGCAAGATCATCTGCCCAAGGGGATCAATCGAAGCACAAGCTCAATGACCAGGGTCAGTGGTTGGCAAAGAAAAGGGATGCATTAATGGTGGTCGCATCACTTCTTGCAACAATGGCTTTTCAAGTAGGGGTGAATCCCCCAGGTGGTGTTTGGCAAGATGATAAACCTGTAGATTCCCAAGTCCAAGGCCAGCCAGTACAATTTCAACACAGAGCGGGAGAAGCTGTGGTTGCGTATCATTATGAAGATTCATATAAATATTACCTTCGTGCCAACACCATAGGTTTTGTTGCGTCGCTGAGCACAATCTTGTTTCTTATAAGCGGGTTGCCCTTCAAGCGCAAGACGTTTATGTGGATTTTGATGGTGATCATGTGGTTGTCAATTACATCCATGGCATTTTCTTATGGATATTCTATAGTTGCGGTCACTCCTATAAAGGACAGGGATGCACTCCGACGCACAATGTTGGTTGCAATTCCAGTGTGGTGTGGAGTTATGGGGCTCCTGTTCCTTGGCCACACTCTTCGCTTGACAGAGAAGTGGTTGAAGAAAAAGGGGAAATCTATGTGGGAACCAGTTAGAAATTTCTTTAGGAACCAATCCAATCCCAAAGCCATTGAAGTTGTTTAAATTCGGATGACCAAGCTCGCATTATTGATTTCTCTCTCTGAAACTCTGAAAAGATCTTGTATTGCACTATGTTTTCTAATCATTTTTATTTGTGCATGAAATATGAATTGCAATTTGAAGGATTATTTGTATGCTTCTTCTGTATTATTTTATTAGTATGTTAAAATTGAACTCAAATCAATATTAATATTTTGCAGTACTTCATTTCGAGTAAAATCTGTTTTTTTTTATCCTTTATTTTCCTTTTTCTTTCAAAAATTAGAATAGATAAATATTACGCTCACAACAATGTTTTGATTTCATAGTTCAACAGTATTTCTTTCCTACATGTATGGGGAGAGAAGAAAAATCTACCATCAAATGAAGATGGATAACAATTGTGCTGTCTTTCCATGAGAGTGCATTTTGGAAGGCCCATGGCCTTATTTCTGTTCCTCTTTTTCCTAGGTACCCAATGCTAATTTCTGATTTAGCTTTTTTTAGAAAAATGCCAATGGCTATATCATCACAACCTATATAATGTTGTTGGTGGAACACAATGCCGCTCTACGTGACTGTTTTAAAAACAGGCTTACCTCAGTCAGTAAGTGTTTCGTACTATTTTTAATTTTTGTCTAGGATAGGAAATCCATTTGTGAACAATAAAAATCTGTTTAATTCTTTCAGTTGAAGTGAGCTTATGAGGATTCGCAACCGTTATGGAATGGTTTGAGGGTTGTGGATGATATAAAATGCCCATCAACTGTAATACAGCCTGCAACAGAACTTTGAAATTTATTTTGAGGGAAAAAACTAAATCGACCTTCACGGAAATAAAACTTAAGTTGATGTACTGAATTGAAACTAATAACATATAGTTAGTGGCCAAAAAGTATAATTTACTCTCTTTTTTTTAGAAGGACCAAAAAAAAAGGACCCAAAAAAAAAAAAAAAAAGAAAAAAAAAAGAGAAGTGAAATAGAAAGAAAAGCTCCATCCTTATTAATTTTCTTTTATGTTCTACCTCGTTCCAGCCAAAGAACAGAAAGTTCTTGGCAACCAAACAATCTGTTGGCTTGAGAGGATGATTCCTTGGCCCGCGCCCTTGCCTATTTTCTTTTGGGATGTCACTTTTAGAGGATGATTCCTTGGCCCTTCCTCGTGACTCTTGTTGAAGGCTTTTTGATTAATTTAATAGTATCATGGGCGTTTGTTAATGTGATTAATTATAATAATACGTTATTATTAAGAAGTTTAAAATAATTATATTTTGCATAAAAATGAGTGCAATAAACAATTTATATTTTTTTTAAAGGTGTTTAATACGTATTTTTAAAGGCACGCTTTAGTAAAATTCTTTGTTTAGTCATAAATAATCATTATTTTATGCCAAAAATATTGACATATTCAAATTAAGGGGTTGTTTGAGATAATCTAAATAAGTATACTTTTTATCTTTTTACGAAAAGATGTGCAGAAAAATAAAAAAGTGATGCGATGAAAAAAGATAAAAAGATAAATTATTTTAAAGATGCCAATCTTGACCTAAATGTTAAGCATTCCAAAACTCCCAACAAATATATTACTAGTAACTCTTAGCCTCCGTTTGGGAAGTGGGTTGGCTTTTTGGCTTTTTTGGCTATTTTAGCCTGGGCTAAAAAGTTTGGTTTGGGAAGGGCTTTTTGGCTTTTTGGCTTTTTTGGCTTTTTTTGTGAGAGAAGAATGTAATGATTATGGGTTGGATGTGATATTTTATTTTTTGTGGCTAAAATAGCCTATTTTGTCTTTTGTGACTAAAATAGCCAAAAAAGCCCTGTTTAGCTCTTGCCAAACGGAGGCTTAAGAGGAAATGGTTATTGTGATTTGTAAAAGTCATTTGTCAAACGTTAATTATGGTGCTAAAATTTGACACGATACTCTTACGTTGTGTTGGTTGAGAGATTTAGAAAGAAGAAGAGAATAGATAAGTGAAATATGAATAAAATATACCTGCATTTCATTTAATTTCACATACTTTTTTTCTTTCTTTTTTTAAATCTCTTCCAAAATCTCTCTATCAAACACAACATTATTATGCTAAACTTGCCATAGGAGACATTAATAACATGATATGTTTAAATTATTTTGGGCAACACACTCTTTAATTCACATTTGTGTGGTTGAGATTTCATTTTGTACAAAGTAACCACATTTAAGATGAATTTACAGTACGATGAATAACATGCTGCAAATATTGCTCTAAGAGGCAAATTCTTTAGTTCACATTTGCTCATTAATAATTGCAGAAAAACTATATTAAAAAAATATCAAAAATTTACAAATATTGATGTGAATTGGTTTAATTATTCATAATAAGATTCATACCTTAAATATTCAACCATAAAAAAAAAATGATTTCTAATTATTTTTCTTAATAAAATTTCTATTTAGTACCAAATAGTCCTTAATTAATTAGGAAAAATACTTGAGAGTTTTAACTAAGTACCTTAATTTATTTTTACATTATGTTTGGTTAGAAAATTTGAGAATAAATTTAGAAAGCGAAAGAAAAAAGGTAGATAAAATGTTAAAAAAAAAATATACTTATATTTTACTTAATTTAATACATTTTTATCCCTTCCTTTTTAAATTAATTTTAAAATTCTCTAATTAAATACAACATTAATGATGTGAAACAAATCCTATTTCTCAATCCTCTTTTCTTTTTCTTTTTTCTTTTTTTTTTCTGTCTCTCTTTATTTTCTCTTTCACATCATTAAAAATTAAAATAAAAATAATACATGGTCATGTTTGATTCAAAAGACTAATAGTGAAGTATTAATAATCCTATTAAATTAGTGTAGGATTCACTATCCAATTGGATTAATATCCATTGGATTAATAATCCCATCCCTACTCCATTACTAATAATCCTACAAATTTGTTGGATTAATTATCCATTGGATTAATAATCCTAAACCAAAATGTGAAAACAAACATGAGATTATTGGACCCACAGATTAATAATCCTAATCCCATGCTCTAACCCACCCAATCAAACATGCCCTAAAAATATAGAGTAATGATTCATTCTCCCTTTTTCCCCCACCCCCTTTGACCCCCCTCTCTCTCATTGGTCACCTTTTCTTTTTCTTTTTTCTTTTTTTCCTACTCCACCAATCACCCCTGGCACGTGGCAAAGGGGGTGAGGGGGTGACCCCAAAAGAGTGTCCCAAGCATTATTCAAAAATATAATACCATTAATTAGACCTCGTCGAGCCATCATCATGTTTTCCCCGAAAAAGCGTGGGAAATGACTTGAGCCTGCAAGTCTTTGTCTTTTTCCTGAAAGACTTGAGAGACGACTAGTCATCGGACAAAAATATATGTCCTTCGTTCACAGGAAAAAATAAAAATAAAAAAATAAAAAAAAAGAAAGAAAGAAGGAAAGAAAGAGAGAGAGAGAGAGAGAGAGAGAGAGTATGGAGCAGATTGAGCAGAAGAAGAGGCTCCAAGAAGCAGCAATCAAGGGGAACACACAATTATTGCATGAAATACTTGCACATAATCCACTGATTCTTGATAGACTAATAGCGGGTTGTGATTTCGATGAGACTCCTCTTCATGCAGCCGCATTGCACGGCCATATTGATTTCACAACACAACTCCTGGATCTAAATTCAGAGCTTGCTGAAGTTTTAGATTCAACAAGATCGTCGCCTCTTCACTTGGCATCGGCTAAAGGGCACATCGATATTGTAAAAGTATTAGTACAAGCTGCACCTAACATGTGTACTGCTCCAAATAGAGATGGTTTGAATCCACTGCATCTTGCAGCCATGAACGGAAAGGTCGAGGTCATGAGAGAGTTGCTTCAAACCAGCCCCCGAGCAGCTACAGCCACGGTGGACCAGGGTCACGGTGAGACCATACTACATCTATGCGTCAAGTATCATCAAATGGAGGCTCTTGATCTATTAGTCCACACACTCAAAGATGAGATTCAGGGTTTTATAAATGCCACAGATGACTACGGCAACACCGTATTACATCTAGCAGTCACAAATAAACATATCCAGGTATGCCCAAACACGCGTGCGCGCAAAAAAAAAAAAAAAAAAAAAACTAACTGTTTGATTTACTATCTAGCCATTACAAAATTTAATTTAATTTATAAAAATAAAAATAAAAAAAAATAAAAATTCCACCTTTTTACTACTATTTATTTCATTCGGAGATAAGGCGGGTTTTAGCTGCAGGAACTTTACCAATTCTCAAAGCATAATTCCTTGTGCAAAATGACCAAACAGCCTTTTTGCCATGATGACAAAAGGGGGAAATTGTTAGCCACTCTCTTGGAACAGTGTTTCATATCAAATTTTAATCAATAATGTCATATTGTCTACATTTTTATTTTACTTTTCAAACCAATGGAACCCTACCCTACCATCTCAATCAATAACAATCAAATTACAACAATAAATAAACCTGCTCATAGCACTCTTTTAGCTTATTCGTGATAAGGCACCATAACACTCTCTCCATCTGTTATGTACACCAATTCCCCAATTCTGTACACAAGAACCACTTTCTCAACCATTTTTTCCCCTCAACTTTGTGCTGGCCTAATGTCAATTCTTTTATCTAATGTGATATGACAAAATTGATGTGTTGCAGACAGTACAACATCTACTCACGATTGACAAAATAGATGTAAATGCAAAAAATATAAATGGATATACAGCATTGGACATTCTAGCTCAAAGTCGAAGAGGAGTGCAAGATTGGGACATTCAAAACTCCCTCAAACAAGCTGGAGCCTTAAAAGCTGCTGACAATCAGGGTGAGTGGCTTGCGAAGAAAAGGGATGCATTAATGGTGGTGGCATCACTTCTCGCAACGATAGCTTTCCAAGCAGGGGTAAGCCCTCCAGGTGGTGTTTGGCAAAATGATTCACCTGAAGGTTCACTAGACCCGCATAGAACTGGAGAAGCTGTGGCTGCCTATACTTATCCAGAGTCATATCAATTTTATCTGCGTGCCAACACGATAAGTTTTGTTGCATCTCTGAGCACAATTTTGCTGCTCATAAGCGGATTACCCTTGAAGCGCAAGAATTTTATGAGGATTTTGACGACGATCATGTGTTTGTCAATTACATCTATAGCATTTTCTTATGCATTTTCATTGGTTGCAGTCACTCCAAAGACACACAGGGTATCACTGCGTCGCACATTGTATGTTGCAGTTCCAGTGTGGTGTGGAGTGATGGTGATTTTGCTCCTCGCGCACACAATTCAATTGACACTAAGGTGGTTGAAACACAAGAATTGGAAATCAGCCATAGAAAACTGTCAAATTAAGTTCTGGGTAAAGGATGCCAATAGCTACGAAGAAGTTCAGATGACCTAGAGAGCTTGGATATGTGCTTGACATTCTTTCTCCTTCTCTCTACAACTCTGAAAAGGCCCAGTGTGCCAATGTGTGTGTTCTCTAGTAATGTTTGTTTGATTTGCTTTTGTAAGATAATGACATGCCTAGTACTCCTACTAGGTAATTATGATATTCCAAACAAGTGTTGGTGTGGCAACAAGGTTCTGTGCCGTGACAATTCGATTTGGATGTGTTTTATCATATCATGCCTCATTATCATTCTATACTGTTTGTATCATTTTTACTATTTTTTTTTTTTATATTATATCAATTTAGTTTAATTATGCCTTCGTTTGGGATGTGAGTTAGTTTTTTTAATTTTTTAGCTTTTTGGTTATTTTAGCTTGGGACTAAAAAGTCTCGTTTGAAATATATTTTTTGACTTTTTAAACTTTTGTGAGAGAAAAAATAAAATGATTATTGTTTAGATATGATATTTTATTTTATTAACTTTTAACTTATTTTATTTTTTTGTAACTATTTTAATCTAAAAATTATATGCCAAACGAAGCCTACCTTATTAAAAATTTTCAACATAAAAGAATGAGCCAAAAACTACGACGTCCCTCCACCACTGTCAGACCACTCCCTCTCGTCGCTTCCACTGACATCCAATCCACAACTCAGCCACCAACCACCACTACGTAAATCAGCCCTTTGGCCCCTCGAGTCCGAATCGTCTGCCGTGATTATTTGCGGCGTGTAGATGCGCCCGTGGGCCTCATGCTACAGTTCGGACTCGATTTGTGCCACGGTCCTTAATCTTGAACCAAAGAGTCCAAATCCGACAAATCGTTTTGAGAAAAATAGATTTTTGAAAGAAGTGCCAAACATGGACTGCTTTGCCAGATACAGAGTCGCCACCTAAATATTTTTTTTTAATGGGGAAATTTAGGAAACCCTGACTCGGTGCCAAAGGCCACGTGTCCGTCATTGCCAAAGTTGCCTCGGCTCGGGAGCTTGGGTACGATTGGGGAAGGTCAGCTATGAGCCCCCCCTCTCGCCCGATCCGAAGATCGGCTTCTACTAATCGTGATATCCGTTTTTGAAAACGTTATGTGCTCTTATTCCGGTTATTAGCCTAGAATTACTATATTATGCCCACAGCAAACAAGTAGAGACCAAATCGCCTAAATTGGAACGAAACATAGCATGTTTGTTTTGAAAATGGTTTGCTACTCGCAAGTAGGTTAAAATGCAGGTTTTGCCACCCTCAAGTGCGCTTTACAAAATATGGTTTTTCCATTATCTAGTGGGCTTAAAACTTACAGTTTTAATGCATTATTCCAATTTAGGTAATTTGACCTCCATCCACAGGCATTCAAGCAGTTATATCACAAAAACAGCTAGCCTCATGGTAATCATGCTATCATGGCAACATTCACACGCATGCGATATGCTAAAGCATAAAAGCTTACCTAGTACTCCGAGCCAAAACAGAAACTAGTCAGTAATCATATGCATGATCCTAGTTCATGTTAAAAATGGCTAATGCAACACATGCAAAGATGCAATCTAAACAGGCTCGGCTATCCTAAAGATGGCATGTGAAATGCTGCAACTAACAAGTACTCAACTTGGAATTGAAATACAAGTGCAGTTAGCATGATGTGCCGAGCCCGGTGCATGTAAGACAAATGTATGGATGCACGCATGCTATCATACTGTTATGCTAATTTAAATATGCCCTAGTCTACCATCATAAGCGGGTAAGGGGGTGGAGCTGGCCCGACTGGAATGTCCGTATCATCCTGGACATGGGTTGCCTCCCCGAGTATGGGAACTCTTGGTGGGGGAGGAG